AAGAAAGACAACTATTATGTTAATTTTGAGAACCCTAAGTTTAAATATCTTCAGCTTTCCATGGAGCTTATGGAAATATGCCTGCAGAACCTGAAAAATCATATGGACCTGTATTTTATGAAATGGTTGCGAACGCCTGCAATACAAACAATGATATGATATAGGATTTAATGAAGATGTTATGAGGTCATTGGTGGATGATGGTAGTGTGGAACATAAATGGGATAGCTATGACAACACACATTTCTTATGTGGTTTTCCAACAGAAGTGGACTTTTGCTTCCAGCAAGGTCAAACATCTACTGCTCCAATAACATACAAATTGTCTGTTAAAGGACCTATTGAACTAGCAACTGAAAATGTACCAAAGCCACTTATTGGATTTATGAGGGATTGTTGCTTTGCCATACAAGTAAGACAGTCAGGCATACCAATAATAAGATTAGATGACTATAACTTAGCAGCTGACGACAGTGAGGAATAAAGGATGAACGTTTATTTTTAAAGCTTATAAATGAGTTCTTCATCAAGCTCTCGTGAACCTTTACCATCTATGAAACAAACTTTACCAAACGATTATGGAGCACCTATTGAATATTTCTTACGAGCTGCACAATGGCAAAGAGCAGTTTCACCAAGGTTAGGTGTTCCACCAGCTCCTGTCAAAAATAGCATTTGGTCAAGTCCTTATATAAGATATGGTCTCCCACTAGGTTTGCTAGCTACAGCAGGAGCAGTTATGATGTTGAAAAGAAATAAAGCAAATGTTGTAAATAATACTGAAGTAGCTGAAGTTAAACAAACTCCAACGCCTTCACAAGCAAAACCTTCAATGACTCCTGAACCTATGGAAGTACAAACTCCTGTTCAAAAGTCAACTCCTAAACCGACTCCAACATTTAAACCAGAACCTACTCCTCAAATAAATCGTAAAACTCCTGCGTTTCCTTACTGAAAAAAATAACGTTAGTTTTATTTTATTTGAACATTTTATTTAGAGTAAAATGACGACTAAAGTCACTGAAGCAATGAAACAAAAGTTCTTGGTAGAATACATTAAATCAGGAACTATTCCAGAAGGTTTTTACGTTCATACTATGAAGGATGGTAGAGTTCAGTTTAGAAAGATAAAGCAACCATTAGATAGAGAAGGAATTTTGAGAAAGATTAAACTTCATGAGGACAACATTGCTGAACTTAAGAAGAAGTTAGAAGAGTTGGAGAAAGCAGACGACAGTGAGGAATAAAATATTTCATTAGTTTTATTTTTACTGAAAATTTTTATTTGGATGTAATGACAGAACAAAAGCAACTCATTCGAATTCCACAGTATAACAAACATACATTTAAACATTTATTCTTCCTTCCTGAGCATAACATGTTCTTTCAAATACATCCGAGACCAGTTGACTTTTCATTGACTGTGTATAAAGATAGAAATAGTTATATCATTAAACCATACGATGACGAAGGTAAGTTATGTAAATTGTACGTTAAGAAGTTAGAGAAAGTTTATGGCTTCAAGTATGACTACAATATGGTTAACACTGATGATGAAGATATTGAGGAAAATTTATGAGAACGTTTATTTTTTCATTAGTGAGTTCGTTAGTGAGGTGAAATTGTTGGCGGCTTTGTAAATATTTAAGGTTAAGTTGGTTTTTGCGTTCATGTTGTAAAATATACGTTAACGGTTTTGTAAAGTGTCAAATTCACAAGTATTGGGTAAGGTGGAACGCAGTGCCACCATACCCAAGACTTGTATACTAACTGATGAATATGCGAATACCGATAGCACACTTTATGTGAGAATTGTATATGACAAACAAAATTCACAAGTGTCATTTCAAATCTACGAAAACAATCCAAATAAAGACGAACAAATATATACAGAATTCACTGCAATGTCATGGTATTATTTGCAAAGAATGTTAAATCAGAAAGTCGAACTTCCTTTAGCAAATATTTACAGTCGATATGCAAGAGATGAACCATATTTATTTAAAGATGTTTCGATCAAGATGCTATTATTGTTCATGCTTCATTTTCTGGCGCCCAAAACTCTTTCTTATGCTTGGCAAATGACTTTTACGAAAAACCTACAAAGTTATACGAACCACCAAGTGGAAGTATTTCAGACTTTCAAGTATGGTTTACTACAGATGGAAGAAAAAGAATAATTCCATTATACCATGCGTTTTACTTAGAACTTAGTTTCATATACAACTACTATCGAACGATAAAAATATAACTTTTTAATACGGTTGAGGTGTTGGATTTGGTTGCCAACTTGATTGTGGTGCAGGTTCAGGCTGTTGTATTACAGGAGCTTGTTCTTCTGGTTCAGGGTCTTTAGGTATAATACCAACGAACTGACCTACTCTTTTACCAATATTTTTGACACCGTTCCAAATTCCTCTTCCGACAGATTTTATTCCATTCCATATACCTCTTCCAACATTTCGAAAGAAGTTTCCTATTCTTCCAAAGAAACCCATTTTACTATATGTAAAAATCTAATGTCCACCTAGTCTTTTGCGTTTCCTGTTGAGTTCCATAGCATTCTTTAACTGGAGCTCATACATTCTGTTTCTCCTCTGGTAGAAAACATATTCTGGGTCAACTCCTGTGTTCGCGTCATCTGCATAAAGTTGTTTATATCCCACTTCAGGGTTTGTATAAAACTCTTTCCATCTCATATTTGCATACCATGGTGGCAAACCTAACGCAGCGTCATTTGATATGGCAGTTTGCATTTGTACATCTGTTGGCACTTGACCATAGTTTGCCATTGCAGTTTGTATTCTAACTTCATTTGGAATATTCTCTGGGTTTGGTTGTCCAGGTTGCTGTGCATTCGCTAAGTTCTGTGCGTCCATTTAATATTAGATAAAAATATATATCTTACGAGTACATATGCTGAACATTTGCAGGCATTGGTTCATCTTCATATTCTCTGTACTTTTCTGCCACGTCAAATAAATAAATGACACAATGGAAAAAACCTAAAACAAGTAGTCCTATTTCAAACCACATTTACTTACTAATAAAATTTCTTTATTGTGACACTTTCTCCAGTTTATGGGACCTCTCTCATACTCTATCTTGTCATATCTAAACTCATAGTCATGTATGTCTTCTAACCATCTCATAACGGTTTCCAAACCACTTTTATCGGATGTAAAGTAAAAGCATGGATGGTTATGTATAACGTCTAAAGTTTCTAAAGAGTCTCTCAAAGTCCAGTCTACTTGGTATTGAAAATCCCATGTGTTATAGAACGGCGGGGCCACTATAAAGAAAACATTTTCCTTGTCTTTATATTTTTTATACAACTCTGTCCAATGACATCTCACAAACTCTATACCCTCAATATATTTTTCTATGTCCTCTTTGAAAACATTTGTATAGTTAAGATATAAAACTTTTGACATAAGTGTTTCAATGTCATGAACTCTTATAGAACCACTATATAATAGTCTAGCAGATATACTATCCCAGTCTATATATTCTGCTTTTTTCAAAACCTCTCTCACAATATTTTTGTTATCTAATGGTATACGTTCCATCTTACCTATAGGTATCTTTTCTTTTAACTCAGTCAATATATTGTTTGTGTCTGGAATATGTTTGAGACGGTCCATATAGTTGTCGAAGTCATTGCATATAATCTTTGAGTCTGGGAATATTGAATGGCACAAATGGGATATATAGAAACTTCCACCGAACAAATCTACAAATGTTAGACCATTCGGTAGTTTCTTAAGTTCTCTCAATATAATATCTTTACATCTACTCTTATTTCCAAAGAACGGTAACGGTGGTTTTGTAAAATTCATTTATATATAATAATAAAAATGTTTTTACCCGAAAAGTGATAGAAAAGTGACAAAACATGAAAACATATATAATTTGTGAAAAGCGATATAAAAAGTGATATTTAAAAAGTGACACTATTAATATGATTTAAATAACAACGGTTTTGGTTTTGTCACCGGCTAGTCGGCTGGGGTTCGGTCCTCCTCTTGGGTCTTGGGCAAAATTTCTTAGGGGCTAGAGGGCACAACGCGCCTGGAAGCCCCACTCACCTGACCTGAAATGGATAGTCATCACAATAAATAACTTAACATCTAAAATAATGAAGACAATTCTAAATATTCATACGTTTCTCTTTCTATTTTTAAGGATATAAGATGCAAAAGTTATCACAAAATGTCTATATGATTATACAGATTGTTCATCAATAATATCCAAGAGTTCATTCGATGAGAGATCCTGTTGAATTTGGGAAATTGATTTTTTGAGCTTATTCGGATGTAGGGATTTACATTGTGCATGTGACAGTTATAAAAGTTAACCCCAATTCGATCAGAGTTCGTTTTGAAATTTCGTGAAATTTCCGAGAGAAGATTTCTTTGACAGTCAAGGGCTATTTTCGTAATACAATTGTTCCATTTTCTCATAGGAGCCACATCTTCTTTACGGACCTTTATTCGAAATTTATATTTGTGATATTTACATTTTTGATATCATCTCACTTTTAATCCAATCTCGAAATGGAAACTTCAAAAACTTCTTAATCTTCTATTTAATAATCAAGTTCACTGTGAGATTAGTTTGGCAAACCCAAATTTTAGCTAAAAGTGACAGGGGGGAAAAACGTTTAGTATTAAAAAAAAGACCGATGAGAGCTTCGTTCGAAATATAGAGGGAACTGAGAATGCGCAACCATTCTCAGGGAATATTGGATGCTATTCCCGTTCCCTCTGTATGGAAAATTGAGGTTTTCAAAGGGAGTTAAAATAATATCAAATTTATACTAATTTACTTCAAAATACAAAAGTATTTGACAGCTAAAATTAGTTACTTTAGCAAGCCTATCAATACCCTTTTACGATTATTGCTACTTTTTCGAAATAAAATAAATTTATTATCAAAAACCTTTTTTTCTTAGTAAAAATAAAAATGTTATTTTATATCAAGTTTTTATTCATAAATTTTTATAATGTTGTATAAATTTGAAGGTGGAAATCTGTAATAATTTTATCTTGAAAAGACTTGGCATTCTCAACAATGAATTGAGGGGTATTGCATCCAAATTCTGTAATTTGCGTGAGAATACTAAGCTTGATTTCCATTGGGATACTTAATTTCGAAAAATACTGGGTCATTCGTTTTTGAACCTTTGCTGCCTTGACAACTTTATCAAGTAGGTCATCTAAACCCAATTGAAGCGTATTTAAGTTTGCTGATGAGTTAACTATTAACGATTTAATTTTATCAGTGAGCATTATACATTTTTCTGTATCCAGTCTGATTGTAGACTTTTTTGGCTTTTTTTCAGATGGCAACGGATTTGGAATTTTGTCTCTGAGCCTTATATCTTGAGAAATTCTGTAATAAAATGAAGGAACGATAAAATCGATTAATTTCATCACAAATCGATCAAATCTCATGAAAATTGTTCCGCCAAAGTAGTAATATTTAATTTTTTTGTTAATCGATTCTGAAATGTTATTTGTGAGAGCTAAATTTTCATCTCTTTCAGCGGCTGTCCATCTTTCTTGGTTTGATATCCATTGATTTTGTATGTATTTTGAAAATTCTGGGAATTTTTCGGCTATTTCCAGAATTTTTTTGAACGTTGGTTCAATCCATTCTTTCTTGCCATTTCTGCCGTATGCAAGATAGTTCATTTTTGTATCTAATATCAATTTGTCTGAACTCTCAAATGCATAATCTTTCAAATTTTTTCTGAACGCCCTCATTACATGAACTGCACACCAATGAAGGATAACTTCTGGAAAAGAGTTGATAATCGCATTTTCGATTTCTTGTGCACAATCTGACATAAAATATTTTGGTTTTACTTTTGCCCAGTTAAAAAATGCCTTGAGACAGAATGCAATATTTTCTGAAGTGTTTGGATAAACGACAAATTGAAAAATTGGGAATGCATGTGTATTTGGAAATTTGGCTGATATCATGTAAAACAACATTTTAAATTCAAGTAATGAATGGGTTGCATCAATAAAATGCTCTTTCACAATTTTGATTATGTCCAGAAATTTGAAAGAAGCATAATAAAAGATTAATTTCTTTGGTTTGTTGTAATTATCGACATCGAAATAAATTAAATCTTTTGGTGACTCTTGTTCTTTGATACCCTTAAATAATTGAGTTGACTTGAATTGATTATCATCGTACTTTTGAATACCTTTGATCTTTTTATTTCCTTTTTCCTGAATTGTTTTCATTTGATCTGAAGATGCATTCAAAAAAGATGGCCTGTTAAGTGGATCATCCAGATCAAGTTTTTTGTCGCATTCAATTTGAGCCATTTTCGGATCACCCCCTGTTTTATAAAATTAATAAGTACCCGACGATAGCATTGTGATAATGTGTGGTATTTCTTTGTCTCATCTTTGATTTGATTGTGATTATGTGTTCCATTATATTCTGTTAGGATATATTCTTCATCATCCTTTAGAAATGAGATACATGCTTCACATTTATCTGCACTGCACCTGAATTTTAATTTTGTTCCCCCTAAATTTGGATTTTTTTTAATTGATATGGACAACCTGCATGGCATTCGTTATCAATGACAGCTTTCATAGCATCTATATAAGATAGCCTTTCTTTAAGTTCGCATGGTGCATCGATATGCATCAAAAAAATGAAATGAAATTTCAATATCAAAAAAAGCACAAAATTTGAAAAAATTCACAAATCTCGGTTTCTGAAAGAAAATGGCCTCTTAAACTTTGTGCATATATTCATCTATAAGACACATTGTATCCATATATTATTTAGCCAACACAACTTATCTGGTATCGAGAAAATTCAAAAAAAGCACAAAATTTGAAAAAATTCACAAATCTCGGTTTCTGAAAGAAAATGGCCTCTTAAACTTTGTGCATATATTCATCTATAAGACACATTGTATCCATATATTATTTAGCCAACACAACTTATCTGGTATCGAGAAAATTCAAAAAAAGCACAAAATTTGAAAAAATTCACAAATCTCGGTTTCTGAAAGAAAATGGCCTCTTAAACTTTGTGCATATATTCATCTATAAGACACATTGTATCCATATATTATTTAGCCAACACAACTTATCTGGTATCGAGAAAATTCAAAAAAAGCACAAAATTTGAAAAAATTCACAAATCTCGGTTTCTGAAAGAAAATGGCCTCTTAAACTTTGTGCATATATTCATCTATAAGACACATTGTATCCATATATTATTTAGCCAACACAACTTATCTGGTATCGAGAAAATTCAAAAAAAGCACAAAATTTGAAAATTGCTCGGTTCTACATTCAAAATAAATTTCATTAATTTTTACGTACATATTAAGGTACTTATCTTCTACATATATAATCTTCATTAGATATATAAAAAAAAAAAAAAAAAAAAAAAAAAAAAGGTAGTGGGGCTTCCAGGCACTTCGTGCCCTCTAGCCCTGAGGATGATTGGTATAATGAAGTTTTTTTTTTCTTGGGGTGTCCTTCCAGGCACTTCGTGCCTTCTAGCCCACATAAATGAAGTTTTTATTCGGAGGTCTTCCAGGAGCTTTTCACAAATTATATATGTTTTCATGTTTTGTCAAGACTTCTTCGTAAATGTTTTGTCAAGACTTCTTCGTAAATGTTTTGTCAAGACTTCTTCGTAAATGTTTTGTCAAGACTTCATCGTAAATGTTTTGTCATGATTTCTTCGTAAATGTTTTGTCAAGACTTCTTCTTCGTAAATGTTTTGTCAAGACTTCTTCGTAAATGTTTTGTCAAGACTTCTTCGTAAATGTTTTGTCAAGACTTCTTCGTAAATGTTTTGTCAAGACTTCTTCGTAAATGTTTTGTCAAGACTTCTTCATCGTAAATGTTTTGTCATGATTTCATCGTAATGAGCGTAAATGACCCAAAAATATAATTTAGGTGAAGAGGTGAGATGTCACCCGTTTTCTCACCTGTTTTCTCACCTCTTGAATTTTCATGATTTCTTCGTAAATGCTTTGTCGAAACTTCTTCATCGTAAATGTTTTTAACTTCACTTAAAATGCCACGTAAGCTACGTAAGAATATACGTAAGAGGAAGAGAGCATTGAAACATCCAATAGTAAAACTGACACCACAACAACAGTTGCAACAACAAATGCTGAATGACCCCACTATGTTGCAACAAATGTCAAGCAACCCTATGCTTTTAAACCGAGTTATTGGTGCACAGAGTGGAGGTTTAAGAGCGGCACTTTTAGCGAAAATGGCAGGCTATGGTGGAGCTGCAGACGGAACAGCATATAACCCTCAAAGTCAAATGAATTTGAGTTCACTCAAAAATCAAATAACAGATGTCAAAAAGTCAAACATAGACATACAGAAACAAATAAGTGAAAACGAAAAGAAACTAGAATATGACAGACACACAAAGAAACTCAATGAGTTAAACGTAGAGAAAAAGAAGAAAGAAGAACAACTGAAAGAACTAAGTACAGAGGAATATGCGAAAAAAGTGTCAGAAAAAGCAACAGAAGTAGCAAAAATGGAACAAGATGTCATAAATTTGAAAAACCATACTACTCAATATAAAGTACTGAAAGATGAAGAGATAAAACAAAAAGCCCTGAAGACATATATGGATAGCGATGAGTATAAAAAAGAAGTTGAAGCAAATGTAAAGGCAGAAAAACTTTTACAGTTGCAAAACCAAACCGTACAGTATGAAAACTTAGCACAAGAAAGTAAAAATAACGACGCAGCCATGCAAAAGGCAATGAAAAGCGCAGAATATATAAAAGCTAACAATGACTGGTTAGATGCCCAAGCCAACGCTAAAGCAGCCCAACTCATAGGGTCAATAAGGACAAAAATACAAGCGGATGAAGATAGTTCAAATGAAGCTTTAACAAATGCTGACTTTAAGAACGCCTTCGAAGCTCTTCATAGTAAGGTGAAACAAGTGAACGACTTCTCATCTGGAAAGAAACTGAAGTCTGAAGGTTTCGACAAAGAGTTAAGAGAAGTAGCACAAAATATGACGAAAATAACAGATGCAGCAACGAGACAGGCAGTTCAAAGTGCCTATGACGCCGTTAGAGCAACTGTTGTGAAAAGTCAAGAAAAAGAGTTACAACAGACCAAAACAGACCTAGTAAATGCTTTCTTAAAAACGAAAAGTCAGGTAGGACATTACGCTGCAGATGGAACATATGTGCCAGCTGGTGGAACTTATATACCACCAAACCCTCCAAGAGAAGCACCTGCACCAGGACTACCTAACACATTTACATCGTCACATGGACATAGACACAGGCATGCACCACAACAACAACCAAAACCAACACAACAACCAACACAACAACCAACACAACAACCAACACAACAACCAGCACAGCAACCAACACAACAACCAGCACAGCAACCAACAGTTCAAAACCCTGCACAACAACAACCACAAACAGAGCAAGGACATAAAAGAAGTAGAGAACAAGGAAACCAAGAATTCTTAAAAATGCTTAAAGAAGAGTGTGGTTTCCCAGATAGTATTGACTTTAGTGACAGATATAAAGAAGCTATTAGAAAGTTCAAGGATGGAAATACTGACCCGGACCTATTTAGCTTTATGGCTCAGCACCAAAACGGATATAATCTCAAACCTGGAAAATACAAGCTCGCTAAGGGATATGATTTAATAGCATATCATCCAAATGACATGGATGAATTTACTCCGAGATATTTGATGTCAGAGCTAAATGACAATTCAACTTTCGTCATGAAACGCGTAAAAAATAGAGACGGAACGAAAGAACAAAAGCTTATGAATGCGGATGACGTAGATAGGGAAATTGTTGAAAACGGTCTCGGAATATATGAAATGCCAGCAGATGAGGTACAAGAAACTCCACAGGAAGAACTAGTTCAGATACAACCAGACATGGAAGAAATAGTTCAGCAACAACAGCTAGAAGAGCCTGAAGGAAACGAACAAGTCACTCCTTTGGAAACTAACTTCACAGAACTAGATGAAGATTTGGAACAGCCGAAAAATCTTGACCCTCAACAAGAGTATGCGGAGAATATGGAATATTTCCAAGAGTCTAAAAAAAATTCGGCTGACATAGTAGAAGAATATCGAAAAATGTTTGCCGACATACAAAAGACTCCAACACCAGATGAAAATATTCAGCATAGAATGGAAGTACTGAAAGAAAATGTACACAAATACAACAACCCTTTTTACTTACGAGCATTTAACGTTCAATCTTCGGATGAACTCGGTGAAAATAAAAGGTTAAATTTCAAGAAAACATATAGAAATGAAACATTGTTTAAAGTTCATTCAGAACCTAACCAAGATGGAAACAAACCTACTTTTGTTTCTGCAGACGATGGAACTACAATGAGATGGGGTCATAAAGCTAACCCGGATAGGTGGTTCATAAACTTACAACCACAATTCCAAGAAGTTGTAGACGCAATGGAAGTCAATGGTGAACCAGATATAGCTGGTATTTTCAGCGCGGCTTTAATGCCATTGAAAGATATGAAACATGCAGATATTTTGGACCAGTATGAAATGAACATGGCTGATGGAAATATAACACCTGACGTTCTAAAACATTTATCTCAAAGAACTACACAGAACCATAGAGATGGTATATTTGGTGAAGAGTTTAGAAAGAAAGTTAGGGAGGGCGAAGGAAGAGAACCTATTGTACATGACCTTGCAAACGAAAGTTTACAAAATGTCATAAAAACTTACTTTGCAGACAATGAAATGAGAAGGGATGAATATTTAAGAAAACTCAAATGGACAGTACCAAATGAAATGTTAGTATTGAAAAACATGTTCCTTGACAAAATAAAACCAACTACAGAAATAAACGACGCAAGACTGAAAGATTGGGTAAAAGCTTTCCCATTCACAAAAGATATAGTTGGTAACATGGAAAGAAAACCAGAATGGCTACAAAAACATATATTTGGAAACGAGCTTATTCCATATGGACAGGCTCTGTTTGAAGAGCTTGAACCGGAAACTCAGGAAAGAGTCATGCAAACAATACGCGAAGACTCAAATACAAACTATGACAAACTCTTTCTAGGATATAGGGTACCTGAGATGGGCGACCAGAGCCCAAAGGCAAAAAGGACATGGGAAATTTACAACATACTAGGTGAACATGAGGCAAAGATGCAACAACTTGAAGCAGAGGGCAAGTTACCAAAGCGACACCAAAGAAGAAGAGTAGAACAAAGTGAAAGTAGTGAAGAAGTAACTTCATCTAGTGAAAGTAGTGGCAATGAAGGAAAAAGAAGAGTTAAAAACTCAG